GGTAAACCACATTTGAACTGTCGGTCAGATCGAAATTATCTATTTATGTATGAATGGTCTCGTTACAAATAGTATAATAATAAGTAACAAATAATATTTGAATTAACAGTTGGTGATAGTAAAAGCAATTCGATTAAAGTAAGTAGTAATATTTATATTTAATATACAATTTATTAAGAGTATAGTTTAGGAAGATTTTTTATATTTCAGCTTCTACATAATCTATAGGCATATAAGAACTAAGAATATAATTTATTTATAAAACGATATTTCGAAAATTTGGTATTGATTTATGAAAGTGGTTTTTTATTTTCCGCGTTAATTAAAGATGCCGATTGTCCAAGATTCAACAGGCGATAAACATATAGGTAATTATAAATCCTTGGTAAATTATTTTTTATTATTTTTCTTTTAAATAATACTTGCATTTATCATTATCGACGCTTTCAGATAACTTTTGTGCAACTGTCGAAAGTTTAAATCTAAATACAACGGAAATGATAACGGAATGCTTAAAAAATAACTTAAAAAATCCCGTGACTATTCTAGACGAATTAAAAGTGTGTGTAGATTACGTCGAATTGGGACAAACTCAATCAAAGTATGGTCCGATATATACAACATTAATAACTGTTAATGGTGTTGAATTTATTGGGGAAGGTTGGTCAAAGGTAATTGCCAAAACGAAGGCCGCCGAAAAGGCATTAACAGCGTTAGTAGGATTTGTTGAAAGTTATGAATTTAATAGACCTAACGGAATTTCTGGGGGTAGGAATGAAATCATCAAAGGGATGCAAAGTATGCAATATTCAATAAGCGATGATAATATCGGTAATTAAAATCCCTCGGTCAATAATTGCATTTACATTATCTACTTTCTTTAGATATGTTTTCTGAAATTGCGAGAAATTTACAACCCCATACAAAAGAAATGATAAGGGAATGCTTAAAAAATAACTTTAAAAATCCCTTGAATATCCTAGACCAGTTAAAAGTGTCGATCGAGTATGGCGAATTGGAACAAATTGGATCAAAATATGGTCCATTATATAGAACATGGGTAACCATTAATGGTGTTGAATTTATTGGGGAAGGTTGGTCAAAAATAATTGCCAAAACTAAAGCAGTCGAAAAGGCATTAACAGCTTTGATACAATTCTCTGGAAATGATGAATTTAATAGATCCAACGTAATTTCTGGGGGTAGGAATGAAATCATTAAAGAGATGCAAAGTGTGCAACATTCAATAGACGATGATATTATCGGTACTTGTAATTGCCATCGTTAAATTATTGCATTTATTTATCATTATCTACGTTTTTAGATATGTTTTCCGAAACTGCGAGAAATTTACAACCCCATATAAAAGAAATGATAAGAGAATGCTTGAAAGAAAATTTAAAAAATCCAGTCTCTATTCTAAACGAATTAGAAGTGTTGGTAGATTACGTCGAATTGGAACAATCTGAATCAGAATATGGTCCAATATTTAGAACATCAGTATTTGTTAATGGTGTTGAATTTATTGGCCAAAGTTGGTTACAAGTTATTGCTAAAACTAAGGCAGCTGAAAAAGCATTAACAGCTTTGGTACAAATTGTTGAAAGTTATGAATTTAATAGTCCCAACGGAATTTCTAGGGGTGAGAATGAAATCATTAAAGAGATGCAAAGTGAGCAACATTCAATCGGTGTTGTTAATTTCGGTAATTAAAATCCCTTGGTCAATAAATAATTGCATTTACTTATCATTATCTACATTTTCAGATAACTTTTCCGCAACTGCGAGAAATTTACAACCCCATGCAAAAGAAATGATAAGGGAATGCTTAAAAAATAACTTTAAAAACCCCGTGAATATTCTAGACGAATTAAAAGTGTCGGTAGACTACGGCGAATTGGAAGAAACTCGATCAGAATATGGTTCAATATATAGAACATCAGTAGTCGTTAATGGTGTTGAATTTATTGGGGAAGGTTGGTCAAAAATAATTGCCAAAACTAAAGCAGTCCAAAAGGCATTAACAGCTTTGGTAGAATCTTCTGAAAGTTATGAATGCAATAGACCTGATGGTATTTCTGACGCTAGAAATGGAACCTTCAAAGGGAACAGTTCCGGCACCACAGCATACCCAGTAATGATTTTGAATTATCTTTACTCTGAAGAAGCGAAATATGAATTGGAAGAAAACTCTAAACGAACATTTGATAGGTTCAAGTGCATCGTTCGTCTTAAGGGACAAGAATTTCACGGCACAGGTAACATTGATATGTTCCATTTGAAACTAGGCGCAAAATGTCTTCTAATGTTTCATTTTTCAGGATCCAGTAAAAAAAATGCGAAATACGCCGCCGCCCTTGAAGCATTAACGGCACTGCAGACATTACATCCAAGTTTGATTCAGGCTTTAAGGAAGTGTAGTGCACCTCCAGATAAACTGATATTCGCTGATAGAGTTAGAAGAATGATTTACGACAAGTTAAGTGATTTAGCACGAGATAATCCGAATATTTTGAAACGGAAAGTGTTAGCGGGTATTGTAATGACAAAAGACGAGTGTTTGCACGACTTAACTGTTATTTGCGTGGCAACGGGTACTAAATGCATCAACGGGGGTAACATTTGCCCATTCGGGAATGCACTTAACGATATGCATGCCGAAATAGTTACCAGAAGGTGTCTCCTTGATTATTTCTACGACCAGCTGGAGTTAACATTGATCAAAGGTAAACATTAGTGTTTAGTCACTGTGTTATTTATTAAATGGTACATTATTAAGGTGAACAACACAATTCAATTTTCGTCTGCGACGGTAATGGTTGTAGATTGAAAGAAGGTATAAAATTCCATTTGTATATTAGCACAACCCCTTGCGGCGCCGCCAATTTACCCTTTTCGCGGAAAGATTCTGGAAATAATTCTAGCATGCGGATCCGCGCGAAAATGGAAGCCGTTCATGGAACAGTTCCTGTCGATGGGAATACGACAATTCAAACTTGGGATGGGGTATTACTGGTATATATAACGTTTAGAGGAGAGTGAGTGATTAAGAACAACCACATGATCATAAAAGGCTTTTTTGGCGTTCCCCGTGTTCTCAATTGCCCCACTCTCTTTCTTAATGGTATATCAGGGGAATCGGTTTTATCATTGGTCGACCATTTTAGGGTGCAAAATTACTAAACATGTCCTGTTCCGACAAAATAGCCCGTTGGAACGTTTTGGGCTTGCAAGGATCTCTGCTTTCTCGCCTGATGGATCCTGTTTATCTCAGTTCTGTTATCTTAGGACGTCCCAATGTGGACGAGTGTCAAGTGCAGAGGTATTTTTTTGTAATTCCTTGTAAAAAATAGGCATTTATTCATTCGTTATAATTTCAAGAGCACTCTTTGGTCGTATAGAGCAGACTTTAGGAGACCTACCTAACCCATATCGTCATAATAAGTCAGAGCTTTATTTGACTTCGTCTAGGGATTCGCGTTGTACGGATAACGCCCCGGATTTTTGCGTTAATTGGACCATTGGGCGAGTCAGACATGAGATAATAGACACGGCAACCGGAAGAACCAAGGAAGGTCCTTCGAGGTTGAGCAAATACAATCTTTTTCAAAGGTTTCTCAGATTAGAAGAGTTCACGTCATCGCAAAATATGCGAAATGGAACGACATATTTGGATAGTAAATCCAAGGCCAGAAAGTACAACGTGAGTTAAAATTTAATTTTTTTCTATTTTTCATATGTCGGAATTTTTATTTCTATTTCAGAAAGCGAAAAATGAACTTTTTAGCGCTTTTGCTGATGCCAAACTGGGTCATTGGGTTAAAAAGCCACTAGAACAAGATCAGTTTTAATTATAACAGAGACTTTTTTGCATATTTTATTACTTTTATATNCAAAATTGGAAACTTTGATAAAGTTGAATAAAAAGTTTTTTTTATTATAATTTTGTGTTATTGAAATTATTTAAAATTGGGAATTTCCCTACATTTGAATTTTATAGAGATGCTAAATGGAACAAACACATCAGACAAATTGACCTCTGTTGGAAACAACAAGAAAACAATCAGTTAACCTCATAATCAGTATTGTCTGTAATCAGTATTTGCTATTTATTAAGAACATTTAGCGATTATTTTGCCTTGTGATATTGTTTTGGAACAGTTTTAAATTGAATTTTAATTTCAGTCAAGTTTGGACCTTTGTTTTGGTGCAGGTGTTCTAAAAAGACTTGTAAATCAGTGCAGGGGCCCAGTGTTTATGAACAATTCAAATACTTGAAGGCCAACAGCCATCACACAATAGACTGAAATGTATTCTAATGTTCAAAACAATTCCCAAATCAACTACATATCAAATAAGAGGAAATTTGAAAGTAAGCTATACATTTTGTTTTCTTTGTACTGAGCAGTTCATATTAGATTGCATAAAATTGATAAATGCAATTCAACCCTTTTGTCTTTATGCTATTCTAATTTTTACTTATTTATTACTTTTAATTTTCTGGAAATGATACTTTCATTGCATTCAACAGTCAATCACTTAAGACTTGCGATGTTATTTTCCATGGATGAAATCATTGTTATGGCTTTTTACATGGTCTTTCACAATTACCAATGTCAAACAGATTTTTTTGTAATTTATTATTTGCACAACTACAGTATTGTTATCTGCTTTATACAAGAAAATGTACTCCTCCGAATTGGAGCCACAACTCAAGGAAAGCTCCTTTGGATCTTCCCCAGAGAAGAAGACCAGAAGAAGTATTTACGATGTTATCAGAAAAGGTGTCAAAGACAACGAGTGTCCCATAGGAAAATTGAGTCAGTTACATCCAGAATTAATTTTCCAACAAAAAGGTAAACATGGACATGTGTTTGAGATGACAGTGGTCATTGAAGAAAACGGAATTAAAAAACAGTTTTTGGGAAGAGGACCCACTATAAACTCAGCAAAGAAATATGCAGCTCAAAAAGCTTTATTAGAAATTACAGAACAAAACATATCTTTCAATCCAAATGATGAAAATAAAGAAGTAGATGATATTCTTAAATTGTCTAGTTTACATCCTGAATTAACATTTGTTGAAGTTAAACCATTTGGAGCTTTGCATGCTATGAAAGTTGTATTTAAGGAAAATGGGTCAGATATTTCCTTTACTGGTAGAGGAATAACTAAACATCTTGCTAAGAAAAATGCTGCCAAAAATGCATTACTCCATGTAGGAGAAAATCAAAAGATTGAGTCAGTATTTACTCATAATCAAAGTAATCAATGTTATCAAGAATCAGAGGACTGCCCTCTCAAAAGATTACAAATCATTCATCCTGAGACAACTTTTAAAGAGGAGGAACGTTTTGGGCCGTTTTATAGCGTAGTGGCTACAATGTCCATAAATGGCAAAGAAACATCTGTAAATGGGAAGGGAGTTTCAGTAGATGCAGCAAAAAGAGTAGCAGCTGTGAACGCTTTGGCACTAATCATACCTCAAAATTCAAAAACAATCCAAAACCGAATTTCTGCTCCATTACAGGTTTTACAGAACAAATCAACTCCTCTTCTACAAAAAAACACCATACCACACAAGGAATTACCTAAATCAAATAGTCAACCATCATATTCCCATGAAAGACAAAAAAATACCAGTCAAAGGTCTGAAAACATTGTTGAGAGTGAGGTAGAAATTTTTGCGATCCCTTTGGATGAAATGGAAAATCAGCACCCTATTCCCATCTTAGAAAAGCTCCATCCCGAATTACGATTTGAAGATGGACCAAAAAAGGATAACATGTACTGTGTGGTAGCTATTATTTGGAAAGCTGGTATTGAAAAACATTTCGAAGGCTTCGGGGAATCACGTAAGCTAGCCAAATGGAACGCAGCGCGAAAAATGTTATCAGTGATAAAAGCAACCGAAGAAATTGATGAACAGTATCCAATTTCCAAATTGACAAAGTTACATCCGGAATTGACTTTCGAACTACAGCCTGGCGTGGGGCAATCGTTTATAGCTAAAGCTTTTATAAATGTTGATGAAAAGCAAAGAGAATACAAAGCGATTGGTCCAACGAAGAAAATTGCCAAAGAAAATGCCTCTGTGGAGGCTCTAACTGATTTGAAATTGAGACGAGAGCAGAATAAACGTTACCCAGAAAAGTACAAAATAATTACCAAACCTTTGGAAGACTCATTAAATACCAATAACAACACAGAAAGCTGCTCTATCGCTATCCTAGATGAGATGTGGAAAGTACAAGGTTATCATTTTTTTTGGAATTAGGCATAAAAATTCGTTATTGTTATTGGTACTGGACATTACTTTTTGGCCTTTTTGTTTTTTATTTACTTATAAAATATATGTAAATACAAACGACTTTTTATGCTTATCTTTTTCAAATAGTTTTTTGTTATTAAAAAGACTAAATTAGTAAATGTGCATACAAATTTTAATTACTTTAATTTTATCTCACAATTAGATGACCAGTCTCAAGCAGGAAACGATTTGGAATCGTTTAAGAAGAAAAAGAAGGTGCAGGGTCTGATGATAGTTAACAAAAACCCGATATCGATCTTGAACGAGTTAAAGCCAGGCTTGATATATAATATCAAAGAACAAGCTGGTCCTCCACATGCTCCCATTTTTAAGGTATCGGTTATATTGAACGGCAAGGAGTATGAAGGCGTCGGAAAATCGAAAAAATTGGCGAAAAGTAAAGCAGCAGCGAATGCTTTAAAGTCTTTCGTTCAATTTCCTAAAGCAGACGAATTTAATGGATTCCAAGCTGATACAAAAACCGACTTTTCTTCTGATGTGAAAGGGAAAACATTGAATGAAGAAAAAAGTGCACAAGTGGCACCCTGCAAAGGAGCAACGATGCTTATGAATGAGCTCTATCCAAACGCCAAATACATTTTTGAGGAGAACTCAAAAGAGACTTCCAACAGATTTAAAGCTATTATTCAAATAAGTGGGGAGGAATTTGTGGGAATGGGTAGGTTATTTTCGTTGTAGTGTTAAATTTGTAGTATTTATCTGTTTCTTATATTTTTCAGGTTCGAATAAGAAAAGGGCTAAAAATGCAGCAGCCATGGTTGCCCTAACGAAACTGTTAGCCGAAAAACCGAATTACTCGAAAATGATACAACCACTGAGGAATTCGACGGCGTCGTTGGAACAGCAGGCGTTTGCAGATAGAGTGGGAAGGTATGTTCTCCATTATAAATATATATGTATAGATTTTTCTGTTCTCTTATTTATTGACTCCAATTGCAGAATGGTAAACGAAAAATTCAGGGACTTAATGAGGTACGACACAATCCATTTAAAACGTAAAGTGCTGGCCGGTATGGTGATGACCAGGGACGAGGCAATGAACGACATGATCGTTATTTGCGTTGCAACAGGCACGAAATGCATCAATGGGGAGAATATCAGTGCCTCTGGCACCGCCCTGAACGATATGCACGCTGAAATAGTCTCCAGGAGATGTCTTATCAATTTCTTGTATGATCAATTGAGATTGCAGTTTACCAAAGGCAAGCAAACCCTTATTTCTCCTATAAATACTAATTTATTCTTATTTAGGTGAAGAGCACAACTCAGTTTTTGAACCTCGTCCTGACAACACAGGGTTCAGGCTGAGGAGGCACATAAAATTCCATTTGTACATTAGTACGGCGCCCTGTGGAGATGCGAGGATATTCAGTCCCAATGATGTCGAAAGCGTGGACAGACACTCGGCTAGGAGTTCCAGGGGACGTTTGAGAACAAAAATTGAATCCGGAGAGGGCACAATTCCCATTAAGGGAAACGATATACAAACGTGGGATGGAATTTTACAAGTAGGGTAAATTCAAATTAATTTTAGTTGCTGTTTGAACGATTGTTTCTTCGATAGGGCGAAAGGTTATTAACGATGTCATGTTCCGACAAAATAGCCCGTTGGAATGTGTTGGGATTGCAGGGAACGTTACTCTCCTGCTTTGTGGATCCCATTTATTTGAGCTCTATCGTTTTGGGGAGCCTGTTAAACGAGGGCCATATGCAGAGGTACGTTAATACTTAGACTTGTGACTATTTGGCGCATTTAATACTTTTCCTTTAAGGGCGATTTTTGGTCGTTTGGAGAACACATTACAGGGTTTACCACCCCCGTATCATCTGAATAGGCCTTACATGTGCCCGACGGCGTCCGCAGAGACGCGAGTTGCCCAGAGGGCACCGAATTTTTCGGTTAATTGGGTCATCGGCTACGACAGACCTGAAATAATAAACACTGTGACGGGGAAACCCGAGGTGGGCGTTTCGCGCCTGTGCAAACGCAATTTTTCTAAACGATTTCTGGACGTTTGTTATCGTGTTACAAGCATTGGAAATGTCGACGTACCTATACCCAAAATCTATGCTGATGCCAAGTTAGCAGCCACCCCTTATAATGTAAGTATAATTTGCTTGGGGTGGGTGGACTAATCTCTACATTGTTTTTTGGAAATTTATTTTTAGCAAGCGAAAGAACAATTGTTTAGGGCTTTCAGTAAAGCAAATTTGGGCAGCTGGATAAAAAAACCTTTGGAACAGGATCAGTTTCAAATAGAAGATGATATTTTTTAAATCTTTTATTGAATAGTTTGCTAAGTTTACTTTGTTCGTGTTTCGTGTTCATAGATCTTACAATTAGTACAATTTGTGTTTATGTGATGTACATGGTGACACTTTAGTTAACCTTTTTATCGAACAGTTTGATAAGTTTATTATTTTTTTTTTATTACCTGCTCATAGATCTTGGTACAGTCTGTGCATATGTGATGCATTTGAGTGGTGATATTTTAAAAACAATTTGGATTCCGTTTATTAATCTTTATTGTCTTTCTAATTAACAAGAAACAAAATAAATTGAGTCGAATAAAATAAAATAAAAAAAAAAATCAGTCCTTAATTTATGTGTTGAATCGTTTAATTTAATGTATTTAAATGTTCTCAAGGCAAACAAGATTAACAATGACCGCTAAGGTAAGTAGTATATTAATTTATTTTATATTCGTAATAAAACACGTATGTACCGGAATAACTAAACATCTTGCTAAGAAAAATGCTGCCAAAAATGCATTACTCCATGTAGGAGAAAATCAAAAGATTGAGTCAGTATTTACTCATAATCAAAGTAATCAATGTTATCAAGAATCAGAGGACTGCCCTCTCAAAAGATTACAAATCATTCATCCTGAGACAACTTTTAAAGAGGAGGAACGTTTTGGGCCGTTTTATAGCGTAGTGGCTACAATGTCCATAAATGGCAAAGAAACATCTGTAAATGGGAAGGGAGTTTCAGTAGATGCAGCAAAAAGAGTAGCAGCTGTGAACGCTTTGGCACTAATCATACCTCAAAATTCAAAAACAATCCAAAACCGAATTTCTGCTCCATTACAGGTTTTACAGAACAAATCAACTCCTCTTCTACAAAAAAACACCATACCACACAAGGAATTACCTAAATCAAATAGTCAACCATCATATTCCCATGAAAGACAAAAAAATACCAGTCAAAGGTCTGAAAACATTGTTGAGAGTGAGGTAGAAATTTTTGCGATCCCTTTGGATGAAATGGAAAATCAGCACCCTATTCCCATCTTAGAAAAGCTCCATCCCGAATTACGATTTGAAGATGGACCAAAAAAGGATAACATGTACTGTGTGGTAGCTATTATTTGGAAAGCTGGTATTGAAAAACATTTCGAAGGCTTCGGGGAATCACGTAAGCTAGCCAAATGGAACGCAGCGCGAAAAATGTTATCAGTGATAAAAGCAACCGAAGAAATTGATGAACAGTATCCAATTTCCAAATTGACAAAGTTACATCCGGAATTGACTTTCGAACTACAGCCTGGCGTGGGGCAATCGTTTATAGCTAAAGCTTTTATAAATGTTGATGAAAAGCAAAGAGAATACAAAGCGATTGGTCCAACGAAGAAAATTGCCAAAGAAAATGCCTCTGTGGAGGCTCTAACTGATTTGAAATTGAGACGAGAGCAGAATAAACGTTACCCAGAAAAGTACAAAATAATTACCAAACCTTTGGAAGACTCATTAAATACCAATAACAACACAGAAAGCTGCTCTATCGCTATCCTAGATGAGATGTGGAAAGTACAAGGTTATCATTTTTTTTGGAATTAGGCATAAAAATTCGTTATTGTTATTGGTACTGGACATTACTTTTTGGCCTTTTTGTTTTTTATTTACTTATAAAATATATGTAAATACAAACGACTTTTTATGCTTATCTTTTTCAAATAGTTTTTTGTTATTAAAAAGACTAAATTAGTAAATGTGCATACAAATTTTAATTACTTTAATTTTATCTCACAATTAGATGACCAGTCTCAAGCAGGAAACGATTTGGAATCGTTTAAGAAGAAAAAGAAGGTGCAGGGTCTGATGATAGTTAACAAAAACCCGATATCGATCTTGAACGAGTTAAAGCCAGGCTTGATATATAATATCAAAGAACAAGCTGGTCCTCCACATGCTCCCATTTTTAAGGTATCGGTTATATTGAACGGCAAGGAGTATGAAGGCGTCGGAAAATCGAAAAAATTGGCGAAAAGTAAAGCAGCAGCGAATGCTTTAAAGTCTTTCGTTCAATTTCCTAAAGCAGACGAATTTAATGGATTCCAAGCTGATACAAAAACCGACTTTTCTTCTGATGTGAAAGGGAAAACATTGAATGAAGAAAAAAGTGCACAAGTGGCACCCTGCAAAGGAGCAACGATGCTTATGAATGAGCTCTATCCAAACGCCAAATACATTTTTGAGGAGAACTCAAAAGAGACTTCCAACAGATTTAAAGCTATTATTCAAATAAGTGGGGAGGAATTTGTGGGAATGGGTAGGTTATTTTCGTTGTAGTGTTAAATTTGTAGTATTTATCTGTTTCTTATATTTTTCAGGTTCGAATAAGAAAAGGGCTAAAAATGCAGCAGCCATGGTTGCCCTAACGAAACTGTTAGCCGAAAAACCGAATTACTCGAAAATGATACAACCACTGAGGAATTCGACGGCGTCGTTGGAACAGCAGGCGTTTGCAGATAGAGTGGGAAGGTATGTTCTCCATTATAAATATATATGTATAGATTTTTCTGTTCTCTTATTTATTGACTCCAATTGCAGAATGGTAAACGAAAAATTCAGGGACTTAATGAGGTACGACACAATCCATTTAAAACGTAAAGTGCTGGCCGGTATGGTGATGACCAGGGACGAGGCAATGAACGACATGATCGTTATTTGCGTTGCAACAGGCACGAAATGCATCAATGGGGAGAATATCAGTGCCTCTGGCACCGCCCTGAACGATATGCACGCTGAAATAGTCTCCAGGAGATGTCTTATCAATTTCTTGTATGATCAATTGAGATTGCAGTTTACCAAAGGCAAGCAAACCCTTATTTCTCCTATAAATACTAATTTATTCTTATTTAGGTGAAGAGCACAACTCAGTTTTTGAACCTCGTCCTGACAACACAGGGTTCAGGCTGAGGAGGCACATAAAATTCCATTTGTACATTAGTACGGCGCCCTGTGGAGATGCGAGGATATTCAGTCCCAATGATGTCGAAAGCGTGGACAGACACTCGGCTAGGAGTTCCAGGGGACGTTTGAGAACAAAAATTGAATCCGGAGAGGGCACAATTCCCATTAAGGGAAACGATATACAAACGTGGGATGGAATTTTACAAGTAGGGTAAATTCAAATTAATTTTAGTTGCTGTTTGAACGATTGTTTCTTCGATAGGGCGAAAGGTTATTAACGATGTCATGTTCCGACAAAATAGCCCGTTGGAATGTGTTGGGATTGCAGGGAACGTTACTCTCCTGCTTTGTGGATCCCATTTATTTGAGCTCTATCGTTTTGGGGAGCCTGTTAAACGAGGGCCATATGCAGAGGTACGTTAATACTTAGACTTGTGACTATTTGGCGCATTTAATACTTTTCCTTTAAGGGCGATTTTTGGTCGTTTGGAGAACACATTACAGGGTTTACCACCCCCGTATCATCTGAATAGGCCTTACATGTGCCCGACGGCGTCCGCAGAGACGCGAGTTGCCCAGAGGGCACCGAATTTTTCGGTTAATTGGGTCATCGGCTACGACAGACCTGAAATAATAAACACTGTGACGGGGAAACCCGAGGTGGGCGTTTCGCGCCTGTGCAAACGCAATTTTTCTAAACGATTTCTGGACGTTTGTTATCGTGTTACAAGCATTGGAAATGTCGACGTACCTATACCCAAAATCTATGCTGATGCCAAGTTAGCAGCCACCCCTTATAATGTAAGTATAATTTGCTTGGGGTGGACTAAT